AAATTGAAATAAAATGAGGAAAGATAGTATGAAATGGTGAAAAGCATGTGAGAAATAGTGTAGGAAAAAAATTCGTCCAAAAAAAAAAAGTGGGCTGGGCTCATCGGGCTGGAAATGGCTAACCCGCTGGCCTAATTTGGTGGTTTTGGCCCAATGGGATCCACAAGTCATTTGGCCTAGCCCTCAGTTGGAGATCATTTTTGTGTCATTTCGAGCTATTTTTAGCTCTATAATCCTTTGGCCAGGTCGGTTGGAAATGGCCTAATGGGAATGAGGAACGGCTGAGGTGGAAATTATAAAATTTAAAGCAGTATTGAGTGAGTTAAAAATTGGTGTATTAATGGAGGGCATATGTGGGAACTAAATAATTAATATTTTAACACATTAAATATTGACCTTTAAGTAGTAGTGGAGTTGTCACTTAGTACTACGATCTAGTGGTATTGGGTTCAATTCTCGCTAAAGGTGAATTTGAACCACATTATTATAGTTAGTCTGTTATGAGGCTTAGCCAAATCTTCCACCTATTAGTGTAGATACTATTGTTTGTTCAAGAAAAAAAAGTAGTAATGGAGTTCACATGCCAACTAACGACTGGGGAAGGCAAGTAGGGAAAGGTAAGAAGACAAGGTAGCTAGCATTCCTCAATTATGTTTTGTTTACACTCAACTTTTTTTTCTAGACACCCTTCGATTTTATTTAATGAAAAATCATACTTGTATTCGTATGTACAATTACAGTAAAAAAACTTACTACACTCTTTAGAGGATCTCCAATGAAGTCCCTAAATAAGGACAAATACTATATAAAATGGGTATAAAACAAATATAGGACAAAATGAATTTCCAATGAATCAGAAAGTGAGTCCCTAAAATATAGAGACTCACTTGATATATAATGTACGTACCCAAATATAGGAACTGTATAGGGAGACAATCTTGAGTAGAACCCACAATCTTGATTGAAGCTTTTAATTAATTCAAAATGTTTAACGTAAACAAAAAATGTGCACCTAATCAAATTGTCATATAAAATCATAAAAACTTCAAATTTTGGGATTCTACAATAATGACTCTTCCATTGAAGGCAATATTCCTTTAAGGACACAAAGATTCCTTTTAAGTTCTTAAATGAGTACTCAAAGGTGGTGGTGAAAGTCCCAATGCTCTAATAATATAATCTTCGGGATATAATCAAATTAAGATTTTAAAGGATTTTAGAATCAAGGTGTGGTCAATAGAATTTTAAAATAATTTGAAATCATGTTATTGTCAAAATAGGATTTAACAGGATTTAAAAAAACAAGGGTTTTTTAACTTTAATCCTCGAAGAAGATTAAAATTTAATAAAAATTTGGTGTTAGATTATATATTGATTTTAGTCCTTTAATGTGTACTTAATTCAAATTCATCTTATATTTTTATTTAATATTTAATATATATATATATATATGTATATATATATATTTTTTAACCAACGATATTATCTACACTAAGAGGGTGGGGGAGGGGCTAGCCTCACAATGGGCTAACAATAATGTGGTTTAAATTCGTCTTTAGCGAGAATCGAACCTAAAACTTTTTACTTACAAGTGAAGAGGAATACCACTAGACCGTAGTACTATGTGCCAGTATGTAATGTATTTAAATTTGTTATTATACACATTTTAATTCATTAATTTTGTTTGTACCATACTTAGGGCCTCCGTATTTAGATCTCGTATAAATACTCGGGACTTAAATGTAATTATGTAATAAATGAAGGAGCAAATATGTAAAAAGGGGAGGAGCCCTTAGTCTATAAAAGTGCCTCCTTACCCTCACAAACCTTAAGCCTCACATCCCCTTTCACTCTCACATTACAAAGCTCTCATCCTAACAAATAGAGAGCTCTCTCAAACTCTCTCTTTCTCTGGAGGACTCCCCTTCACCCTTGTAATTCATACATACAGTTAGAGAGAAATACAATATCAGTGTGGATGTAGCCCAAACATTGGGATGAACCACAATACATCTTGTGTTCTTTACATTTCTTATAGATTCATGGTCGGATTTACATTGTTACAAGACCTTCGGTTTTGTGCATCAACAAATTTTATTTAACTTCCTCTAATTAATATATTTCACTAAATTAGTGTACCAAAATGTTCGTACCTAAATATATTGTAGTGAATTAGTGGCACATAAGAAATTATACAAAAACATTAGTGTACCGAAAATTGGATATGATACTAAACTAATGTACCAAAATATATGTACCAAAATATATTATACTAAACTAGTGTACTAAAATATCTGTACCTAAATATATTATACTAACCTATAACCTATTGTACTGAAATGTTTGTACCTAAATATATCATTGTTCTAAAAACAACAAGATAATAATCAAGCGTAAAATCCACAACAAAAAAACTTAATACTACTGAAAATTTAAAAATAACATAACTGAGGAATTAAGCAAGCATGATTGGGCTACATCGTTGCTCTAGGGAAAATAAATTAGTTCCAAAACATAATTGAAGTTGTCACTAAATGCATAATAAAATTAAGAAAACTAAGTTCAGGAAAAAAAAAAGCATAATAAAATTAAGAAAACTAAGTTCAGGAAAAGCCTGAGTCCATCAGGACCAGTTGTCTCTTCTTTCCCCTCTTCTGTTTCCATTTTCTTCTCCCTAACTGACAACGGCTTAAAGTTCGTTTATTGACAACATTAGAAGATAAAAAACAGAAAAGCTCTTCAATTTTATGCTCGCCACTTTGTACATTAATTATATCTTGATTAATTTCTCGATTTGACAATGTCTTCTCTTGTGGCTTTGGTCTACTTGCTGCTGATTACCGCAATGTTGCCTTCTTTAATTATTCGCTGCTCTCCTTCTTCTCTCTGCCTGTGATTGCCTTCCCCTTCTTTCTACTTTTCCCATGCAAATGAACTGTCATTTGGATGCATGCCGTCTTTAGCTATTAGTGGATCTCTCATCTATATATTAGGAGAGTGCCGATAAAGCACCTTGGCTTGAACCATCATACAATGCCACCTTAACCTAAACTAGATAGGAAGCTATGAAGATTCTAATAACATAAAACTATGTCCGGTCCTATCCTATGGAACAAGGTATCACGTGGTGCAAACAATGCAAACCTAAACATACATATATATAAACCAATGTAATATAAAAACAATTCAAAATAGCTCTTGTACAATAATAATACTAAATGTATTTTCTAAATACGAAATCTTAGCATTATAATGGAATTGTTATATAAATATCTAATACTGTGATATTAGATTTTTGAAGTACAACTCCAACAATCATAACCGCCACTACCCTCACCATTACCTCAACCCTCTCCTCCAGTATCGATGCCATCTTTACCACTACCACCTCCCACTACCATTGTCGTCATTATCACTACTACCACCATCGCCACTATCTCCATGTCATCACCTCTGCCACCATGACCAGCACAACCTCTACCATCTTCACCATCATCACCGTCACCACCTCTCAATCAACGTCACCTATACCGCCCCTCTGTAGCATTGTAACCACAACCACCTTCTGCCACGATCGCCGGCCGTCACCACCATTCCTACTACCAGTCTACCATTGCCCTTTTTCCACTCCACTATTGTCACTATTCAATGGGCGTTTCCCCATTACTAATACCACCAACCTAACCACCATTGCTTCTAGCACAACTCTTGCCATAATCACCATCTCCAGCAACACTACCATTATTTTATACATTACAAAGATATTACTATCTAGCACAAAATTATTAGCTTTTGACATTATCTATGTATCTGAATACTAGATACGTTTTTAATATTTTCCTTTAAAAAAAAAATCATTGTATTAAATTAAACAAACATATACATTATCTAATGATAAAAATGTAAACTTGTATTTGTCTTTTGAGTACCCAATACGACTTGCTTATGTGGTCCACTAAGTTTAAGACGCCTGCTATTATAAGAAATAACACACAACCAAACACCTCCTTTCTTCCTCCCTGCAACTTTTTCACCATTTTTCCTCCACCTTCCTCTTCTAGGACCAATCTGTTGTGTTTGGCTCATATACTTATGAGTTGGCAACAATTTTGATAGTGTAACTTTCTGAGTGCTACAGGGAAATGGCAGTAGCCACTTTGTGTTTGGCTTTCGGTTGTGGCATGGATGTCTTGTTTCAAGAGAAGACATGGTGACTACCACAAGCAAAGTTGGAAGCAAGACTTGACTTTGTGGTTGCTTGCACACAATTGTGCAAGTTTTATTGTGCATGTTTTATTTTATATGCATTAAATGACAAATGGAGAAAAGTTGTACTTTATAGACTAGGTATAGACTTTGATGCATGCTAGGTAGGCTAGGTGATAATTATGTCATGTGAACTTAAGACTTTTTAGTCTTGTTTGTTGGCATAGTTGCTAGTGTATGCCTATAACTAGATGCAATATTTGTGCATTTAGAAATGCATTGAGAGAGCATCCAAAGGAGAACACAAAGGAGAGAAAATATAGAGTGAGAGTGAGAAACTCTTGGGGAGAGTGGGACTCTTAGTAAAATTCTGTGAGGGTACAAGGGATTGGGGTTTGAGTTATGTTGATTAAACTCAAGTGTATCTTTTACTAGTTATTCTCATAGTGAAGGGCAATATCTCTTGGAGGACGTAGGCAGATTTTTGCCGAACCTCGTAAATTTCTCAGGGTATTTATTTCTTGTAATTTAAACTGTTCAACTGTGGGTCTGTAGTTTGGTGAGACAATCTGAATCTCACTTCCACACTGACGAACAACCAAGGCACAACACAACCACCATGGCAGCCATTTATCATACTTGTAAATAAAATAAAATAAAATAAATTCTCTTAAAATGAAGAAAATCAGACAATTGGCAGCCTCCTCTCTCTGCTCGACCTTTCAGAGAGAGGGAGGTTGTCTCTGTTCCTGACCTTACGTTGCTCGAGCTCATGACTGCCTGGATTTCGCAGTTGATGGCCTCAGATTTCTCTCGTAAACTAGAGCTCATCATGAGCCTCCAGAACTCGTCGAGCCTTGGCAGAGTTAACTCGGTCAGCTTGCGAGAATCGGGGGTCAACTCCGTAGTACCATATAGCTCAGTAGCTCCGTGATACAGTGTTTAACGAGCCTTGGTGGTCTTCAACGAGCAAATCGTTCTACATTTCGATCTCTGCCTCATGCACCGGCTTTAAATTAAGTGTGCTGATACGGTGTTTGTCAAAATGTTTCACTGAAATTCAAAGCAGATTATATATGTTTTTCATAGTTTTTAGGATTTGAAAACAGTTGCCTAAATTCCGTACCAAGCAAATTTTTTTAGTATAATAATTGTATGTGAAAACTTGTTCATGGTCTCGACTTCTACTTTGCAAGTGTGGTATAACCTTCTTTTTGCTTTTACTATGCAGATTTCTCCAAACCCAAAAGAAAACCAAAAGATTTGCATACTGCTCTGTTTTTCTTCAAGCCTAGTCTTGATCAAGAGCTAAGGTATGACCTATTGTTTCATTTTTTTTAATTTCATCTGCTTAAAAATAAAGGATTCCTTTCTCGTATCTTGAATTTTTTTCATTGTGGATTCGTATATATTCAACAGATCAGAGAAGCAGACGAATTGGTAAGCTGAAGGTGCCATGGCGATGGAGATACTCAATGCAATTATTCCTACAATAATTGACTACACAATTAGACCAGTTGCACGCCAAGTGGGTTATATCATTTCCTACAAAAGCAACCTTGAAGATCTAAGGAGTAAATTGGAGAATTTTGATTCTGTCAAACAAAGGATGAAGCATGACGTTGATGAAGTCCGAAGAAAAGTTGATAAAAAACTGGAAGCTGATGTCGAGAAATGGCAGTCAGATGCAGAGAAGACCACTCTGAAGGCAGAAGCACTCTTGCATGATGAAGGCCGTGCAAAGACAAAGTGTCTCATTATATGTCCTAATCTGATATACTATCATCAGCGTAGCAGGAAGTCAACAAAACTGATGGAAAAGATTGAAGCACATGAAAATAAAAAAAAAGGGTTTCAGAGTCTTTTTTACGATGCTCCCGTAGAAGACATATCTGGCATAGCCTCCCACGACTACATGGCCTTTGAATCAAGGATTTCTATGGTGAAGGCTATCATTACGGAACTGAAAAACCCTGATATCAACAGGATTGGGGTGTACGGATTAGGGGGCGTTGGGAAGACAACACTTGCCAAAGAGGTTTACAGAGAAGCTGTGAAAGAGAAGTTATTTGGTAATGTGGTTATAATAATAAATGTCAAAGAAAAAGAAGACAAAAAAATTCAAAGGGAAATTACCGAAAGGTTGGGGATGGACGATGAATCTGAGGATATGGGAAAAAAGGCGAATCTCCTACGAGCCAGGATAAAAGAGGAGCAGACTCTTGTCATTTTCGATGATGTTTTGGAAAGAATTGACTTTGAGGCCATGGGACTTGTTGGTGTGCCGAATTGTAAGTTATTGTTGACATCTAGAGATAGTACAGTTTTATTATCTGATATGCGTACGCAAAAAGAATTTCCACTTGGATTTTTAACAGAAAAAGAAAGTTGGAGTTTGTTTGAGAAGGTGGCAGGTAATGTCGTTAAAGACAACCGTATACTGAAAGAAGCAACCCAACTAGCAAAGAAATGTGGAGGTTTGCCGGTTTTGGTTGTTGCAGTTGCAAGTGCTTTAAAGGATAGTAGTTTGCAGGAATGGAAAGATGCGTTGAAAAGCTTCAAAAGATTTGCCGAGGAAGAATTGCATGAAAAAGCATTCTTGGCTCTAAAGTGGAGTTACAAACGATTGGAAGATCAAGAGCTTCAGCAATTGTTCTTGCTTTGCGGAATTCTTGCAAATGGGGGTAGCACCATTTATGTCTTTTATTTGTTGCACTGTGCTATGGGTTTGGGTTTGGTTGGAAGTGTTGAGACAGTGGAAGAGGCACGGATTTCATTGAATAGAATGGTTAAAAAACTAAAACATTCTTGCCTATTGCTGGACAGTGATGATGATAGGACTGTTAGAATGCATGAGCTTGTACGAGATGTTGCTTTCCGGATCGCATCTGATGATCAAAAGGCCTTTTCAAAAGCAGATGGAGATGAGGTTAAAGAATGGCCCGCTGAGGATTTCCTTGAAAAATGTACAAGGATGTCCTTAATAGGTTGCAAGATCCCCAGGCTTCCTGAAGTACCTTGGGAATGCCCAGAATTAAAATTGTTAATCTTGTCCGATAATTATATGGGCAACTCCCAGGAAATCCCAAGCAAATTTTTTGAAGGGATGAAAGAACTCAAAGTGTTGGATGTCAGCGGAATCCGTATTCCGTCGCTACCTCCGTCTCTTCTATCCCTAAAGTATCTCCACACATTGTGTCTAGATCATTGCGAGTTGGAAGACATAGCTCTTGTTGGACAGCTAACAAACTTGAAAATCCTTAGCCTCTTACAGTCCGAGGTTAAAGAATTGCCCAAAGAAATAAGGCAATTGACTAGCCTACAATTATTGGATTTGACCTGTTGCTCTAAACTTGTTCTGATCCCACCTGATGCTATATCGTGCTTGACAAGACTAGAAGACTTGAGGATGGGAATAAAAAGCTTCAAGCAATGGGAGGGTGAAGGTTTGGTCGACGGCAGAAGTAATGCCAGCGTTTCAGAGCTGAAGCACTTATCTCATCTATCCGCATTGGACGTACACATTCCAGATGCTAACCTTCTTCCAACCAACTTGTTCTCCGATAAGTTAGAAAGATACACCATACTTGTCGGTGATTGTTGGGAGTATCCTAACATCCTTGCAACCTCCTCTAACATGCTAAAACTCAAGCTCACCGGGAGTAATCAGTTCGATCGAGGTATAAAGTTGCTGGTAAAGAGAAGTGAGCAATTGTACTTGGATGGGGTGGAGATAGTGAATATTATTTCCTATCTATTTGACAGTGAAGCTGTTAATCACCTGACGCATCTCCACGTCCAAAACAACGACGAAGTCACATATGTTATTAACTCCGTCAGTTGGAGTTATTCTCAAAATGCCTTCCTCAATCTGGAATCTCTATCTCTTAAAAACATTGTGAGTTTGAAAAGTGTATGTTATGGACAACTCATAGGCAACCCTTTCCAAAAGTTAAAATCTTTGACACTGCAGAATCTACCAAAGCTTATTGGTTTCTCTTCCAAGGGCAAGCAATTAACGAATGATACAAATGCCGACGAAATCGTGTTGGAGGATGAAGCTGGTGGACCACCGAGACTTTTCAATAATGAGGAGGTACTTTCTCTGTTATTTTTCTAGCAAAATGGTTGCATGATTCTTTCTCCAAATACTTTTCTTCTTCCAATTTCGACCAAATAATTTTTTTTTCTTTCAATAAGAAAAAAAATACAAATGTTTAAGATTTATTTATTTTTTTCAATAAGCCAAAACCATTTAAATGACATATTAAGTTATCAGGTTTTGATATTAAGATTTTTTTCTTCCTAGGCATTGATTCAACTAACAAGTTCAAATAAAATAAAATAAAATAAAATAAAATAAAATAAAATAAATCAGAGCGTAGCCCAGCGTACTGTGTACCTCTCCCATTCCCCTTCCTTCCCAACGCCACCAATCACCGCCCCCTCCCTCACGGACCACCACCTCTTCAACCACAGCTGCAGCATCTCCCTTGATGACGTCATCGAGATCGCCAAGGTTATGAGAACAGATCCATGGCCTAAGGAGCTTACGGGAACGGTGAAGGAGATTCTCGGAACCTGCGTTTTTGTGGGCTGCACGGTCAACGGCAAGGACCCCAAGGATTTGCAATAGGAGATCGTCGATGGTGACGTCGAGTTCCTTCTCGATCGACAAGGGTGTAAATTCAACGAATCTGACAGCCCAAAAGAAATTTCAGGGGAGGCGCTTACATTCACAAATCTGACAGCCCAAGGGATTTATTCTTCAATCTTCCCAAATTTGGATTTTATGGATTTAAAGTGCGAAGGAGATGCAATTGATCTTGGGGAAGAGAGGGAGATGGACGATGACCGGCTTCTTTTTCCTTACTTTTGTTTTTATTTTTATTTAATTTTATTGGTAGTTGACATGGTTAAGTTAGGTCAAGTTTGTGGCCAGGTGTCAGGTAATGAGACATGTCATAGAGAAGCTAAACCCATTTTAAGTACAGAAAATTTGAACTCGGCCCTATCACAGTAGAGACCACCACCTACCACCAAAGTTTCACAATAATGTGTTTTTGGTATCAATTTAAATAAAATAGTTCAAATTTGGAATTAAATTGACACAATTTTGGGAATAAGGATCATTTCCGAATTACTGGAGATTCTCTAATTGTGCTCGTTAATCGTACCTCATGTGACAAATTTTTGTTAGGTACGGTTTATTTTCAATTTTAAATAAAAAAATTTATAATGATTTCTGACCGTACGATGTACGATGAGTGAACACAATTGAAAGATTCTTGAAATTCTCACAAAGAGGATCCTGGCATTCCAATTTTGGCCCCATATTTCATTTTTCAGATAGTTTTATTACACTTCAATTTGTTCTCTGCTAAGTAATGAAAGTAGAAAGACTTACAGCTGTCTAGTAGCCTAGTAGCTTACTTTTTTAATATATGACCATTACCTTTACTTTATGTTTGCACATTTGGAACATTTACGGTTACAACCATGTAAACTGTAATTTTCTAAAATAAATATGAATTTTGTTCTGTACCATGCAGGTTTTGATGCCGAACTTAATAAGCTTGACTGTGCATCAATGTGATAGTTTAAGATTCTTGTTTTCAAGTTCTATGGTTAAATGTCTCAGGCAACTCAAGCATCTCAAGATATCCAAATGTCAAGCACTACAAATGGTATATGACACATCAGCTACCACTCAGTTGAATTGTTTTGAGTGCCCAAATCTAAACTCAGTTGAGGTAGACTCGTGTGATAGTTTGAAAAATGTCTTTCCCGCCTCAGTGGCCAAAGATCTTAAGCAACTAAGCAAGTTGATGGTTAAGAATTGTGGTTTAATGGAGGAAATTGTTGCGAAGGAAGGACCACAAACGACATACAAGGAGTTCGGGTTCCCTAAAGTAACATTGATTGAATTTCATAACCTGCCCCAACTTGGGAGTTTCTATCCAGGACTGCATGTTTCTAATTGGCCATCACTCAACTACTTAAAGTTCACGAAATGTGGTGGTGTGGAGATTTTGCCTGCCGAATTTTTAACATATCAAGACAAGCTTGAGTTGGGCTACCCAAAGCCAACTAAACAATCTTTCTTTTTAATTGAGAAGGTAACCATACTTGTACCCAATTCTTTTGATATTCAAAATTTTATGTGATTTTTAAATACTAGTTAAACATACACCTTCAAGCAAATACATTTATTATGTTTTTAATATTAAAGTTATTATGTGGTGTCTAGTTTTTTAAAATATTTTAATGCATGCCATTACCGTTTATTATATTTCAGGGTAAGTCATTTTTCAACTTGGAATACTTGATTTTGGACGAGGACACAGAGATTTTGTATGGTCCACTCCTGGCAGAGTTGTTCAGAAAACTAAAAAGAATTGATTTTGCAACTTCACATCCCAAGTCAGATGTTTTCTTTGAGAATTTCCAGAATATTGAAGTGCTCCATGTGTTCTGTGCTCCTTGGAAAGAATTAATTGTCCACGACCACCAAGGAAGTAGTAGAGGGGAAATACATGAAGTTGGAACCCTCCCACGTGTAAAGGTTTTGTGGCTCAACAATATGCCGGAGCTGATACATCTAGAAAAAGAGAGCTCCCAATCAGGGGGCCCTGTTTTTCCAAACTTGAAATTCCTACGGCTAGAAAAATGTGGCAAATTAGAGAATCTAGCTTCAACTTTGATATCTTTTCGGAATCTAACCACTTTGACCATATTGGACTGTCACGGACTGCAATACTTAATACCTTATTCTGTGGCTAAGAATTTGCGGCAACTCCAGGTGTTGGATGTTGGTTACTGTGAAAGAATGGTAGAAATAGTGGCAAGCAACGGAGATGATGCAGAAAATGAGATTACTTTCAGTTGCTTGCGAGATTTGAAACTTTGTGATCTACCAAGTCTGCAAGGATTTTGCACTGGAAATTGCATTTTCAAGGTCCCATCTTTACAGTCCAAGAATTTGATTGTCAAGAAGTGTCAGCTGATTGAGTTAAAGATTTCTCCTGATGGGTTACTCCAAAGTGATCCAAGACCAGAAAGACAACAAATAGCAGAGGAAACTGATGATGTACGGATGCCAAGTGATTCAAAGGAAAATGATCAAACTGTAAGTACTTCGTTCACTAAGTACACATCTATTTATTTCACTCTCCAATTTTTCAGCTTTTTTTCTGAACCTTGAACCGTCAAATTTAAAAGTCTGATTTATTCATTATATTCATAGTTGTTCAGTCAGATTTCATATTGAACAGTTTGTGTTTATTTGTAATGTTCAACTAAATATAGATTTCTACAGGACCAGTTGATGATTGCCGATTCAAATGTAGATGTTACAATTGCAAGACTCTCTGCCAAAAAGGAATCCTCATATTTTGGCTGGCGTGTTAAGGTTTTCCGATTGTGTGCGATTGCGTGTTTGTGTGTTATTTTCCTCTTCCTTTTGTTCTTCCTTTTAAAGGAAGAAATATCAGCCTGGAGAGCAGACTGGAAGGCACTCTGATCAGTTGGACCACACTACACATTCCACGCAAATCATATTGGTGTGTTCAAATTTTTAGATGGAGAAAACCTTTGCTACTTGGGAGTCAGGAAATACGCATTGGAGATCCGCTATCTTGGCTTTGGTGTTATTGTGGTTGCTACTTTAAGTATACTTATTTCTAATTTTTCTTGTTAATTGCTCTAACTATTCTGTTCTCCCCTCAATGGTCTGTGCCCAGCCTTGGTTCCCTGGCCGATCTCATCTTGTTTGATATAAGCCTGCAAGCTGCGGCCTCAATGGAAATTGGGATGGAACTAATGCATGTTCCATGTCATGTTATGCTTGTATTGACTTATGTGTTTCGTCGTAAAAGTGTGATTTGTATTTGGAGCTTTGTTTGCTACATTTTCGGTCTTGGTGTTTGGGAAATAATGCTTGTGCAATTTCTGTAAACATTGATGCATTACAAGTGGTGCTTGTGTGCATCATGCATTACAGTGCATGTGTCTCTGAAGCTGGTTTATACTGGAGTGCTCTTCTTATTTGTGTGGGGATTGTTAAAAATCTGGACGTGTGTATGTTTGTATATTTCATTCATAAAATGTAGGCTTAAATTGGTTTAAATGATTCTGGGGCTCTTTATCCGTGAATTGGTTTAATGAAATACTCATTTTATTTCTTCCCATGTTTTGCCTCTTTTTTTCTTGTATTTTACTTCTTGTGATGCATGAAAATATCATTTCCAATCTACTTAAGAACATCTCCACTGAGCTCCTAACAAGAATTTAGAGAGGACTAGTAATTTTAGCCCGCACGTTGCCACGGGAGAGTCTTAACGGATTATAAATATTGTGGACTAAACCAGAAATGCACATAAAAAGCTTACTGAATATTCAATTCGATTCAATTCATTTCAAATAAGAACCAAACCAGAAATGCACATAAAAGCATACTAAATTACCTAATTTGAACAATTTGGGCAATTAGAAAAATCAATTATTTTGGTTATAAATATTCAATTCCATTCGTTTCAAATAAGAAAAGGTCACTGAATTACAAAATTTGAACAATTTGAGCAATTAGTTATTCTCAAAACAATTCAAAGAGCAATAATTCAGCATGAAAGCCGCAGATAAACAAAAGAAAGACTAAAAATATGTGGAGAAAAATACCCTCAGCAGCCATGGCAAAAACAGAGAGATTTCTTGGGCTCTATGACAACAATCAACATAAATAATCGATGTACCATTTTAAATGAAACGAAGAGAGTAATATTTACACAGTTACATGCATGGCAGCGCATACCAAATCTCTTATCTACGAATCCTGCAAAACATCACGCAAACAATAAAAAAACCATCCTCACAGACGACAACAAACAACACAATAAAGAGACAAGACTTGAACCAAAAGTACAAACAGGTCAAAAACAGATTATGGGGAAAATAACCAAGAACAAAAAAATGAGAATTTTCAAAGTCTACCAAGGACAAATACACGTTAGTGGCCAAATTCCTTAAGATATTGGTTTAATGTCTGGACTGCAACATATTGACCTATCTCAAAATTCCCTTGGAAGGGAAAATTCCATTGAAATAGGCGAACTCAGGAAGCTTCATTACCTTGACCTTGGTAAGAATTCCTCAGTCTTCTATTGCTTTCGAGCTTGGTTTTGTAACTGTCACCGGAGTTGTGTAGCAGATTCGCTTTGCAAGTTTCAAAGTGAACAATAACAATCTAACAGGGTATTTGCCGAGTGCTTGAGGAATTGTTTGGCATTGTCTAGAGTCCTGTTTGATGGGAACCAATTTACCGGGAACATTATAAATGCATTTGGTGTGCATCCCAGTCTTGAATTCATTACTCTTAATGAGAACCAGTTTGTTGGTACACTCTCACCACAGTGGGGAAAATGCATAAGCATCACATATATGCGTATGGGTTGAAATAAAATTTCAGGCCTAATCCCACCTGAGCTCGGACAAATGACAAAACAGCAGCTTCTAAACTTGAACCAGAACCACTTGAGTGGGGAAATACTGGCACAGATTGGTAACTTACACCTGAGTTGCAACTTGGACCTTAGCAGCAATTCTCTCTCCGGAGTGATACCTTCAGAAATGGAACAGCTCACAAATTTATAGGTTCTCAATGTCTCACACAACCATCTCTCAGGGGAAATCCCTACAACAATTATAAAAATGGTGAGTGTGGATACCTATGACTTTTCTTACAACAACTTGACAGGTCCAACCCCAAATTTTGTCATTTTCCTAGAGAATATTCCAATTTCTCAAAATCTTAAATCCAACTACATTTCTCAATCCCCAAATGTCCACATATGAGAAACCAAAACAGAGCCTTAAAGGGGGGAAGAAAGAAAAAAGAAACGGAAGAAAGGTACTGTTCGACTCCTATAGTATCAGTAATGATTTACCTTTTGTTATGGCAAAAGTTTCCCATTTTGTTGGAGGTTTAGGCACTGGCAGCTGTAGAAAACAAAAGAATATGCCATTGGCAGTCAGACGATTATGCGAAGAATACAATAGCAACTCTGAAATCGGTTACAGAAAAAAACCAGCATCATCAACAGCCTTTTTGCATGCACTAACATTTTAGTCAACCATATGATAGGAACCATAAATTGGCAGCACAACAAAAGGGGATCAACAAAAATCTCGATAGTTACCTGAAACTACCATTCCACTTATTTTCAATTGTGAAGCACCACACAAATATTCACTATCAAATGCTCATATACATGATCTAACCTACCAAAAAACATCGTTGGAGAATCGTAAACTAAGAGGAATGACTTAGATGCTTCTATCTTGGCAGTTTAGTTTCAGGAAGCGAACAACTGCACAATGGGACTGTCTATGTCTTCAATTGAATGTGAGTTGAAAAGACTATTCGCAATAGCTTAAACCAACTCGGTCCCTTTCGTTATACATTCCTTCATTAATTCCTCCCTAAATACCATGAAAAAACAAATCAGAATTTCACCCAGTGAACAAAAACCCATCAGCATAGTGCGAAAAATTCACTATTTCACTTAAAGACTGCCACTTTACTGATGGGATTAATCCAAATAAAATCCTAATTTCCAAACGTAAAATTCAATTAATTTCTCAAAAGCAATCATTTCAAAAGGCCCAGAAGTATACAAAAATATTACCAGAAAATAGAGATATATTGAATAAGTAGAGAAAAATAACTTAGAGAAGGGGATGGAAGGGAAGCTGTGATGAGGGTCGAAGGCCATGACATTACCCAGATAGACTTGAATATGCTGCTGCCGGGTCTCCATTGCTGCTTTCCTGCAGTTGCTTTTCATCATCTCCCTTCGACAGTCCAGGTCTGCAGTTGCTTTTCATCATCTCCCTTCGACAGTCCAGGTCTGCAACCCCAAAAACAAACAGAAATGATTAGCTTCGCGGTCGGATTATCAAATCATGCGGTGACAGGACCGACATACACGCAAATAAAAAATTCTTCAATTTGTTTTTTCTGAATCCGTAATTCAGATTCGAGTTCGAATTCAACAGTAAAATATATATATAAATCCATAAAAAAAATTCCCAGATGAAAAAAGAAATAAAGGATGAATTAGAAGTTTTTGGCAGAGAGTTTACCTCAACGGGGAAAATTTTAAATGGAAATTGAAGCTTTACCTGCATAACGGCAGTAGAACTTGAACGATCTCGAGGTTTTTCGGTTTTGGTATTCCAGGGATTTCACGACCGACTTCACTGGAATCCAAATTTCACCACTGACTTCACATAAAATCCATAAAATCCCAAAAACAAACCATAATTTCAACAACCACAAACACGAAAAATCCAAACCAAATATGCAAGTCAATTCAGATTTTACCAATAACCCACCAACCCAATACACACAAAAGGGTAAATTACCTGAGATCGCGGCTGTTCTAGAAGTTCGAACGACATGCAGATTGTGCGACGGTGCGAAGGCAGACGGCGATGGAGAGGGAGAGAGAAGTGGGTTAGACTGTTTGAGGATTAATGACGAACAGGTGGTGAGCGCTCTGACGCCGGCGGATTGGGAAGCGTTGAGGTGCCTCAGAGCTCGCAGCGAGTCAAGGGAATTGAGTTTGAACGTGATCTTCTTTGCTTTTCGGCTGACTAAGGCCGGCCGGCAAAGTAGCGCCGTTTAGGCCATTTCCAACCCATAGCTGAGCAGAGGCTCGTTTTAGCCCTCCAATATCTTTCAATATATTAATATTTTAATGAACATGGTCATATTTGCCTCCGTCTCTAACAGAGGGCCAGAGGGCTCGTTTTAGCCATGTCACAAAAAACCGTTTCTAACCGAGAGTCAAAGAGCTATAGGGCCAAACATAATTTATTATTTAAAAACTACAACTTAAATTCAAATCCAAGTGCTAAGTGAAATAGAAGTTATATAATGTTGTATAATGGCTTAGGAAGTTATAGGAAAAAAATATACAACAACAACAACAACAAAGCCTTTTCCCACTAAGTGGGGTCGGCTATATGAATCCTAGAACGTCATTGCGCTCGGTTTTGTGTCATGTCCTCCGTTAGATCCAAGTACTCTAAGTCTTTTCTTAGAGTCTATTCCAAAGTTTTCCTAGGTCTTCCTCTACCCCTTCGGCCCTGAACCTCTGTCCCGTAATCACATCTTCGAACCGGAACGTCAGTCGGCCTTCTTTGCACATGTCCAAATCACCGGAGCCGATTTTCTCTTATCTTTCCTACAATTTCGGCTACTCCTACTTTACCTCGGATATCCTCATTCCCAATCTTATCCTTTCTCGTGTGCCCACACATCCCACGAAGCATCCTCATCTCCGCTACACCCATTTTGTGTACGTGTTGATGCTTCACCGCCCAACATTCTGTGCCATACAAACATCGCTGGCCTTATTGCCGTCCTATAAAATTTTCCCTTGAGCTTCAGTGGCCTACGACGGTCACACAACACGCCGGATGCACTCTTACACTTCATCCATCCAGCTTGTATTCTATGGTTGAGATCTCCATCTAATTCTCCGTTCTCTTGCAAGATAGATCCTAGGTAGCGAAAACGGTCGCTTTTTTGTGATCTTCGCTAGATTGCTCCGGTCATTAGTGTGGATAAGTATATAAATGGATAGAGATAGGAAAGCAAACACAAGATGTACGTGGTTCACCCAGATTGGCTACGTCCACGGAATAGAAGAGTTCTCATTAATTGTGAAGGGTTTACACAAGTACATAGGTTCAAGCTCTTCTTTAGTGAGTACACAAGTGAATGATTTAGTACAAATGACATTAGGAAAATTATTTATGGGAGAATGATCTCGTAATCACGAAACTTCTAAGTATCGGAGTGTGGTGTCGTCTTGACTTGCCTTATCTGTCTCATAGGTAGATGTGGCATCTTCTCTGGAAGTACTCTTCCTCCATCCAGGGGTGGTATCTTTTAACTGGTGGAGATGCACAAGGTAATGTATCAATTTCACTTGAAGCTTACTTGTAGTTTCAGGCTTGGTCAAGCGCGATACAAACCATGTAGTAGGAGTCCCCCAAGTCGCCGAGCTAGGGGGTCTGCTGAAAGATGTGACAGACAAGGTAAGCAATCAGAGCTCCGACTAATTGTTCACCTTCTCCCCATCTTGCAGCAGCATGAAGGATAAAGAGAAGAAAAATGAGAAGAGATGATATGAGATACTTTTGCTTTTGAAGAAGTAACTTTCCACAGGCTTATTCTTGAACTGAGCTGGAGGGTTTTCTGGTTTCCTCCAGAGTATAAGGCCGACTGAAGAATTTGAGGGTCAAAACAAGTCCATCAAATCTAAAGTACGTTCCACCCTGCTGATATGGGATACTTTTGCTTTTGACAGAGTAATGGATGTATCGGCACGTGTGCTGTTACGCTTGTCTCCACATGCTTCCTTGTATCCTTCGCACTTGCCCTATCTGTTCCTCAAGCAGATGCGGAATCTTCCCTGGAAACATAAGATGTTGAAGATGAGTACTCGAGAGCAATGCCAGGTAAGTAATCAGGTACGGGGTTCCAGGCAATCAGTTCCTGGCTGGAAGCTTGATTCCAAGTGCTGACTGATTGCTCTCTTTCTCCTTGTCTTGCAGGTAAAAACAAGGCCAAAGGAAAAGACAGGGAAAAAGCATGATATGAGATACTCTTGCTTTTAACCCTGATGATATGAGATATTCTTGCTCTAGTAAAGCTTGTTTGCAGAGGTATTATCGGGGGGAAAGAAAGCTGAATATTTCGAAAGGCTTCGTTGGGAGTGCCCTCTCAGATATGATGAAGGGTTGAGCATTTTTGCAGGTCTGCCTGTCCGTTGGGGATGGAGGTCGACATATATATGAGTCTCCCTAACAACAAGTAGTAATGCTATTCCTTTACCCTGCTTGGTCATAGCACGGTAGTGGGAGCTGCCAGTTTCACATGTTTTAACTCTGTCAGAGCACTTTGAAAAAGTGGTCTGTGGTATCTGGCTCTCGAGATTCGGAGAACGATGCCTCTTCGATTTTTGAGAAAGCAATCATGCTGGGGGTCTGGCTCTCGAGATTCAGAGAGCAGTGTCTCTTCGATTTTTGAGGAAGTAATCATGTTGGGAGTCTGGCTCTCGAGATTCGGAGGGCGGTGCCTCTTCGATTTTGGAGCAAGCAATCTTGTTGGGAGTGTTGTCTCGAATGTGAGTAAAGGTTGGGCATGTTTGCTAGTCTACCTTGCCACGAAGCACAAAGGTTGACACACAGGGACTTTCCAATTATCCAGCAATGGTACTGTTCCTTTACCCTCTCTTCGATTTTGAGAAAGTAGTCATGTTGGGAGTCTGGCTCTCGAGATTTGGAGGACGGTGCCTCTTCGATTTTGGAGCAAGCAATCTTGTTGGGAGTGTTTTCTCGAATGTGAGTAAAGGTTGGGCATGTTTGCTAGTCTACCTTACCACGAAGCACAGAGGTTGACACACATGGACTTTCCAATTATCCAATAGTGGTACTGTTCCTTTACCCTTGTAGGTAATAATATGGTAGCTAGACCTTCAAAATTTATGTGTCTAAACTTTGTTAGTGCTGTTTCTTTGCTATTCTTTTACCTTTCTTGGTCAGAGCGATGTAGTGGGAGCTGCAAGCTTCACGTGCTGAACTTTGGCAGAGAACTTTGGCAAAGTTATCTGTGGTACCCATGAGCTATTGTTGCGTGTGGGAAGTGGGTGATTGAACAGTAAGATTGATGTGCTTTCTACTTCACCAGAAGTCTTCGACAGAATGCCCATAATTTCTGCAAAGCTGAGTGTGCGTGTGACAGGTGCTGACAAGGCTAGAAAAGTAGGTACTGAAATGAAGGCAAATGTTTGATTAATAGATTGTTATTTCGTTAAATTATTTAGGGTAAAGTACAAAAAACTACCTCAACTATTGGTCTCACGACACTTTCATACCTTATCTTTTTAAAATGACAATGTCATACCTCAACTTACGAATTTGTGACAATGTCAGACCTTCGTCAGTTTTTCTATTAATTTCTCTGTTAAGTGCTGACGTGGCTAGAGACGGGGCCCACTCACTAATCCTACTGGATAAAAAAAATAATTAAATATTAAAAAATTAAAAAATTAAGAATAAAAAAAAACAAAACAAATTAAAATGGCCTAGAGGTGCGGGCCTTCCATTTCCTCCACCCGCACCAACCTTCTTCTTCTCTTCGACAACCCCCAAACTCTTCCCCATCCCCCCAACCTTCCCCAACCCACCCCCATCCCCCACCTATTCCCTTCCCCTAACTCTTCTTGACCCTTTTGAACCCAAACCCTAACCCTAATTCCCCATTTTCAAACAGAAAACCCTAACCTTCCCCACCCGTCCCCCCAACCTTCCTCTACCACCTTCTCCCTCATTTCTCTCGTCACTCTTTCTCTTTCTCTTTCTCTTTCTCTCTTTCTCTTCTCTCTCTATCTGGGCTACCTGCAGCTCTTCCTGCACCCTACTCATTTTGAACCGCGACGATCGAAAAATCTTCGACTCGTTCGAGAACGCCGAGTCGCCGATGAGTGAGTCGGACATCGTCAGATTCTGCTCCCAGATGAGTGTGTACCACTCAGGCATGGACATCGCCGGATATTGATGTGGCGGGTAGCGAGCAGATGCTTCATCTCGAGCTCGACGAGGATGACGACAGGGTTTTGATGGCGGAGAATCCAAGCTTCGGAATTACCGACGGTAGGACGCATAATAGCTTCGTGGGGGAGGATAGGGAGTTCATGGCATTGGGGAGAAAAAGTGTCAACGTTTCGTCAATTTTCGGGCCACTAAGGAAAGAGAGATGATGGTGGATGAAGGTTGAGAGGGACGGGTGGGAATGATAGGAAGGGTTTCTGGGTTTTGGGGATGCAAATGTTCGGCGAGAGAGGAGAAAGGTGAGAAAGAGATGAGAGAGAGAGGGTGGGTTGTACCTCTTTTCTCACGCGATCGCTGATTTACTCCCCCTTGAATTCGACAAAACCCCGTCCTCCTCTTTCGCTTAACTCTTCGCTGGCAGAGTTATCTCCTGCATTGACAGAAGCCTCGACGATGGGTTGTGGTTCTCTTTCCGCAACACGGTTGAGAAATCAGGCATCGATTGAGCAAGAACGGAAGACCCTTTTCATGAATCGGTCAGATGGGTCTGAAATTTGACTTGTTTCTTCCATAGGGTCAATTTCGATTCAGGTTCTTTGGACTTCTCTGGGCTCATGTACTTCCTCCTTAGCCATGATTCCTTGAGTTCCGCGTAGGCTTTATATCTAAGTCCTCTCTCTATGGAGTAGCTCTCGGTGGCGAACCTCAGGGGAACTGGATGCTGATATGGGTTAGGGTTCTGTGAGAGAATCAGAGTGATAGGGTCGAGGGCTTCTGTTTGAAAATGGGGAATTAGGGTTAGGGTTTGCGTTCGAAAGGAACGGGAAGAGGTAGGGGAAGGGAAAATGTGGGGGATGGATGTGGGTTGGGGAAGGTTTGGGGGACGGGTGGAGGAAGGTTTCTGGGTTTGATGGATGTCGAAGAGAAGAAGAAGGTTGGTGCGGGTGGAGGAAAGGGCAGGCTCGCACCTTAGGCCATTTAAATTTTTTTTTTTTATATTTTAAAATATTATATTTAATTAATTTTTTAATATTTTATTAATTTATTTAAGCGAGTCAGCACTTAACAGAGAAAATAACAAAAAAACTGACG